TCATGTCAACGATAATCATACAAGACTGCCTTCAGTTTTGCATTTGAATAAGCGATAAAGATGATGCTTGGCAGCATGTTCCTAAAAAAGTTTGACCAATATCATTTCAAGTCAGTGACCCATTCCGACCTCTAAGAAGTCCATGGAAGATGTATAATGCAGTTCGTGTTATCCATTAATCCGAAATGAGCACCAAAAGCTATATAGCAGGCCCTAGAGTAATAGAACAGGTTGGTTTTGACCTTGGTCTGACCTTTATACTGACCTCAGGTTAGTGGAGTCTGCTCATTCAATTGTTGTGTTGCCTAAGAAAGCATCTCAAAGGTGCATTATTTCGTCTAACACCTCGTTGTTTCATCAGATTGAGCGATTTCCTAGAAATTGACTATGCCGAATCCATAGCCGGATTTCGACTCGCTGTAGGTCAGCGACCTTACAAGGTGTCCTGAACCTTTGATACCAAACGATCCACTGTTCAATTATTTACAGTATGCAAACTTCGACGCAGCTACGCCGTGTCTTTCTGAAAGCATTCTGGAAAGGGCTTCGAGGGGTGGTCCATTTGACCACCACTCGAACGCGTATTGAGAATGTCTTTTGTGCTCTATGCCGGGAAATTTTGTAGTTAGTTGCGTGAACGCACGCACGCACGCACGCACGCATGCACACACGCACGCACGCACGCACGCACGCACGCACGCACATACACGAAAACACGCACACACAGAAACACACATACCCACACATGCACTTGTTGGTCATTTTCTCCTTTAATGCTTCTGATCCTGTTTCAGGGAAACAACACAGCCCTGGTTACATATCGTGTTAAAAGTGTGGCCAGACTGACATGAAACGTTTGTAAAAGTAAGCATGCACACTGACCGTTGTAAGGGCGCCTTAAATGAGACGGACACCGATAGAATGCTATGTTCTAACTTACCAAGTCGTTCTTTAGATGCCTTAGATAATCATTACCTTTTAAGCAACAGCTTAACCCACCAACGGCATCCGCGATCGAAGAAACGCGAACGCAAGATACAGGGTTTGAAATTCCTGCGTCTGTGTGTGTCTCACACCTCTAGGTCTACGGTACCCAGCGTTCCACGAACGTGACCTTACGGAACAGAAGGGGTGGAGGACAAGACTCTTCCGACCTGCTAGCTGTGGGATCAGGTGGCATTGGGAGGCAGCGGACGTGACCGAATGGAGCCAGACGCTGCCGAACGGGACCAGAAGGAACATTATGGAACGTGATGGGTTCAGACGAGACCGGGTGGAACCGGATGGGTCTGGATGGACTGGTCAAAGCCGGCGGGGCCAAATAGAACCTGGCGCGAAGATGTGATTGCACGGCATGAAACGTAACCAATAGCAAGAGGACTAAACAGGACCGAAATGGACGGGACCAACCAATACCAGGCGGGCTCGGTCTTTTCACATCCGGTCTCGTATGGTCCCATATAGCCCATCTGGCCTTGTTTGGTTCCATTCAGTCCCACTCCAAACTGTGTGGTCCCACCCGGTCCCTGCCTGGTTTTGTCTGGTCACATTCGATTCCGCCCAGTCTTGTCCCGTCCTTTCTCGTTCTGTCAGTCCGTTCGATGTCATCCGGTCCCGTCCCGCCCGGCCCCAACGCGTCAGGTTTCGTGCGGCTCCCGTGCCGCCGTCGTCCGGACCAGACCGGTTACTCCTCCATTTCGGCCCGGTCCCGTCTGGGGCTTTCATGAGAGAGGAAGAGAGAGAGAGAGAGGACGAGAAGCAGGAGATGAAGATACCAGAGCGATTCGTATTTGGAGAGTGACAACGGGAAGAGAGAACGGAGAAGAGAGGAGAGAGGAGAGAGAGAGGTGGAGAGATCATCACACTCGATCCGCTGCCACCACGCGTCCCATCTTGATCCCTTTCCGTTCTCGTCCGATTTCCACCGATCGCCGCCCCGGCGGCGCACTCGCCGATTTTGGACTTCCAATCTTTAAGTGTTTGACAGTTTGGCACTGCCTCTTTGTTTTTGTTTGTTGTGGACATCACGAAGCACTCAGCTGAAAGCATTTCTAACCTCCTCGCTTAATCAAGCGCCGCTTGCAGCGCAGATTTATGCGTCGGCTGATGTGAACTCGCTGGCAATGGATGTAAGGTTAAAACGATATTTGTTCGCAGCATTTGTCACATAGAGCCGAATGAAGGAGCTAGGAGTATTCGAAATTGTCTTGTACGTGTACTGATACCATAACGCATGGCTTTCGTGCAAGGTTGTTGATTCACACCATTATAGGGAGTGGGAAGCATACGCCGGTGATACCCATGTGGTATTACTGCAGCCAAACTGAATCTCAGACTGGGTGACTTGTTATTTGCCAAAAATGGGGTCAAGTTCAGTTCAAGACACATCCAAAACGTACAACTCGTCATGTTATTGCCCTTTGAAGCTGCCATTTTTTTTAGCTTGTATTTATACTTTGAAGAGCTTATATTACAATGACGTGAAAAAACTACCTTTGCTGTACAAGGCCCTCGTGGGACCGCACGTGGGGAGTACGGTGATCTTGTGTGGGGACTGTTTAACCGTACGGACCAAAAGCTTGTGAGCGGGTGCAACGGCGCACGACTAAAATGGTTGCAATTACCAGAGATAAACCATTTATATATATACATACATATATATATATATATATACATATATATATATATATATATATATATATATACAACGAAAGCAGCATTTTGACCTACTTCTGTGCATTACCGAAGATGTGGTGAAGATATAATGGCCATGTACCCGCTCCTTCATTCGGGATAGACTTGAATCCTGACGACATCGTGCCTTCACCCGCATTGGGGGCTACTCGAGGGGCACCGCTGGCAATTCTTTAAGCCCGCAGGCTTCGTCCAGTGTCGACTAAAATATGTCTACAGCGTTGTGCCGCCATCAACGACCGGAACAGTTTCCACTGGACGGTAGTTTTGATGGGTGTCAGTCTAGGATAAAATACTGCAGGCAACGGCACACATTTCATGACTAGGAAACATAGCGTCTCCGGTTAAAACGGCATTTTTTCGGGTCCACAGCTTTCTAAATCTTGAGCGTATAAATGCATAAAAGTACAAACCATGTTAAGCTTCCGTCTTTGTTTTTTTTTAATTCCGGATCAAAAGTGTATGCCGTTGCAGTCCTTTAAGGGAAACTATAGACCCATGCATACGCCGCGATTATCTAAGGATGCGATAGAATCCCGTTGCCGCCAACACTTTTCAACTAAGTGAGATATAATTTTGGAACACTCACTTTCAAGCACCTGGCCCAGTGCCTGGTTTACCTCTGGCCGCGCTGAGGACAGCCGGCTCTGGATACGTCGGACACAATAAAGCTAGGAACCCTATACAGGCTGTAGCCCGGTCGTCCGCATCACACTGCCTAGTAAATTTTTAGAGGTATGTATAGACGATTATAATTATATAATCCCTTCTCTCTAACAACTCTCTCTCACGTTTGCTTAGCACAGCGACTGCATCTTAAGGATTTATATGACTAGATATGGCTATATATTGCCTATATATAGTATATATATAACTATATATATATATATATATATATATATCATATTTTTGTCTCATATGTACATATATATTATTGACAAACAACAATTTTCTCAACTCCAGCATGGATGAGCCTTAGAACATGCTGACCAGCCATTACCATGCAGCACTCAGGAACCGGTAGCCTTAGCCGGGCTGTTCGCAGCAGAATCAGCGCGCGGGAAACTGTCATAATGTGACCATTATGCTGCAGAATGCTTACTTGAAGCCGTAATGTGTTGACCTAAGCATAATGTGTAGGGGCGCAGACCAAGATAACTTAACTTAACCAGGTGCCACTGTGAATTCCTGTACAACAATACGACCACGACAGCCCCCTAGCCGCACACTACCCCGCCCCAACTCCAAGCGCTTCACGACTGATACGATTACGCGATTACAATTACGCGGTTCGCACAGCTTACACCAAAAATGCCCGCTAGCTCACCACTGTCACCTTTTGGTACCCAATAACAAATTTCATCTTAACCTCGATGCTGGTATATTTATAGTATATTTTGATGCCTCCTTGACGAAACTTTGGAATAATCAGTGTTGCACTGCCCTGGTCTGTCCAAGTCCCTTCGCTTCTTCACGTTCAGGTTGAATCAATCACTTCTCTGCAAAATGTACCATATTTCAATCCAAGACCAAGCCCGGTTATTAACCATATACGAGCTAGGCGCGAACGGGATCCGAAAGCTTGTCTCTTTCTAAATGACTGAAAAGTGCAAGGTAAGGTAAGATATGGTGTTTTCTGCAGTGCTACCAAATCAAGTGGCTGAAATCCCAAGAGGAATTAAAGTGTTCTGGTATATATCGCCTCGATTCTGGATATATTGAGTCAAGTTCGGAATGGATGAATATTGCCCAACGTAAGTGCATCACTATCAACGCGCACCCGGGCGGGGGTCAGTTTGACGCCCCCGATGTTTCTTTCCAGAATAACTTGTAAACGGTACAGCGTAGCCGCGTTGGAAAATTGCGTAACTATAAAAACTAACAGCCGGTCTTTTGGGCAACATAATTTAGATGCACCTTTTAAGGTCGCTGTCCTATCACATGTCAAAGTTAGGTCACGGCTGTCAGCGAAGGCGATTCCGAGGGAATCGTTTAATCTGATGCGACAGCGTAGTGTTAGGCGAAACATACATCTTTGAGATGGGTGCTTAGGGCAATTAGACAATTGAATAATGATCACGATATTTCCATTGAACTTGGGTCCCGGTATGAAGGTCAGTGGGGGTCTTTGATCTAAAACTACCAAGATAAACTTTTTGCTTTGAGGAACATGCCGCAAAAGCGTAATCTTTGGCGGAGTCGCTGTGTTGGCCAAAGTAACACGTTTGTGAAACACAAAACGGAAAACTCGAAACAATGAGCTCTTGTGCTCAAAGACCCAAAAACGCCACCGACACGTTTTTTTCTTCTCCACATAGAAGAGAAGTGGAAACTAAACGAACAAGAACCCTCTCCGGCAAACATACTGAAGACACGCATAATGAAGACGGCTTTCTGAAACGTGCAACATTACGGGGTGAGAATTCACCTTTTGCTAACTTAGTGTTTTTCTTCTCATTTGATTAAGCTGTCCCTGTTATCTAAGCATTCGAAAACAGTTATATCCTAACTTGGACGGTCTTTCCCCTAGCGTTTCCATAATCTGAGACATATAACCGTCCCATAAAGGAGGGGCGTGTTCTTGGCTCCCCCTCCCTGGTACCGTGCCCATGCCGGAAAAAATAGGAGTTGAGTCATATTTTGTGCGTACTGTTCACGATGCTAATTTCATTTAAATTATAAGGTCGTTCACTGCATTTGTGATAACCAACGTTCCATGAAATATTGACGGTGGAAAACTGGCCACGAAGTTTGTGTTGGTGCGCGCTTTAGGTAGTGTTATCGGTGGCCTTTTTGTTGGTGCATTGCTGACGGGGTTTTATGAGGCCTTCAGCTGCTGACACTGTATGTCATCGCCCGCCCCTCACCCTTGGAAAAAGGGTGGACACCGCGGAGAATCGACCCTGTGCCTCTGGCTTCTAAGACACTTTTGATACACCAAAAAAGAACAATATCATAAGTCACGTGATATATATACAAAGAGGCCAACAACAGGACAGCACAAATAGCGTGCACCTCCGGCAGCCATCGGCGGCGGTGGCGGCGCGTAGTCGGCCACACCGAGTGACGCCCCAATGGCGCCGTTCCGTGTCAGCTCTTTTGCCCATTCTAAGATGCGTCGTGGCACTTATGGCTATGGTGCCTTTTATAGTCATAGTCTCAAGTCGGCTTCTCGGTGCGGTAATGGATTGCGCATTAACAGTTGATGTTGCATGAACGTATGTGTAACTAGAAATGTATGTGTACTGACATAAGCTTTTACGCCTTACAGTCAAAGGGAAAGGATACATAACAACCAGTGTCCTTTTTCGGCTGTATGAGATGTCACCGTCAGCGCGAAAGGCAAGCGAAAACATAACTACAATTTGCGGCCTTAAAGCAGGTATGCACAATCGTGGTTTGCAAACTCCTTAATGTATGCGATGCATGCATAACTTTACGTCGTACATGCGAATACCTAGACATTTGGTTTCTGGGCACATACATGCACACTTGCAGTTTTGCGCACATACAAACATGTATCCCTCCATATATGCTCAACGTGAGTGCCTTCGCGCAGTTTTCTACATCTGTTGGACTATTAGAATGGTTTCCCACGTTTTGCATGAAATGAAAGAAATCGAAACGATCTAAGGAAGGTAAGAATCTGTCCAAATTTAGGAAGCTACCAGAAAGTTTTTCAATACCTGCAAACATGCTTCGGATGCTAGCAAGCCGTTTGCATCAAAGTGGGCTAACAACAGAGCACATTAGTTTGATGCAGGACTCCTCGAAAGTGTCCCAAAATATAACATGACGTTGATGTCTCAGCGAAAGAGCATGACATGCTTTTCCGTGACTGCAATGCGAGCACGGCTCGGAGGAACGACGACTGGCGCCAAACCAACGAGACCAGCGCAGGTCACAT